CCGCTGTCGGCCCATCGCTGCTCCCCGCGGGAGGATGTAAACTTTGCTAGAGATCGCTGAGCGCTGCCTGCCAGAGCCTCCTTACCGCTCCGGGGTTCCTCCTCACCTGCCCTGTTCGTATTGTTCAGGCTCTCGAGGATTTGCCCTTCTCCCCCTGCCTTTGCCCTTCTCCCCCTCCCTTTGGCCCTTGGGCTTCTTTCTGTTCTATTTTCATGGATAAATTCACATCCTACTTTTTGTCGTGGCTGTGTGAGTGCAACTCTTGGGTAGAGATCTCTGTGAGAGTTGTGGTTTGGGTTATCAGCTACAGACACCTCCAGGACACCTCCCTTCTCCCCTCCTTCTCCAAAGTAATGCACCCAACAATGGGAGAGCCACCCTGGAAACTGCAGAGCACTTGGAAGTTTGCTGAGCAGCCAAACTGGTCCCTAGTGAGCATCCTGAAAAAGTCAGCACAGATGTTTTATATATCTTTTCCTCAGAGCCCAAGCCACTTCTGCATGTTCAGTGGCATTTTCTGCAGCTCCTGTGCTTCCTGTAGGTTTTCTTTAAGAGTCTGATATTCTATTCCCAGACAAATACAAATTTAATGCTTAGAAATACAATTTGGTGATGGCACAGGTCACAGAGCAAAGCAAACTGTGCAGAGGAAGTGCAGCTTGTCCCTTGTTGGATGTGCAGGTGGGGCCTGAACTATCAACAGAGTCTTGAAACACATTTGGGCAATAAACAGGAGTTAGAGTCCAGGTGACTTTCCACCCCTCAGTGCTGAACAATGTCTCATGCACTGAGAATGCCCCTTCTGTGCCTCAGAGGCATTGAACTTGCACTTCTCCTTTGTGTTGGCAAATCTGTTGTCTGGAGCTCAGTAAAACAGCACAGAACCCACAGGAGTGTGAAAACTGCTGCTTTAAAGATAAGTTAAAGATGCTGTGAAGGGAAGCACCACGTGAATACCTTCGTGGGCATCAGAAATGTGCGTGCAAGTGAACCCAAATTTCTGAGGGAAGATTGGCTGAGTGAATTTATCCTTTTGGGGTTCTTGGGTAGATGGAACTGTGGAAAGCTGATCTGTGTGGAATGACCTGTGTGTTGTGGTACTTGTGTTTCATTTTGGTGGAGACAGTGCAAAATTCCATAGCACTTCACCCTCTGGGATCCAGTTTGTGTGTTGGACTTCTCTGGCAAAGTTGACAAGTAACATTTCTGTCAGGAGTAGATTTAGTCTCTGTTTTTAAAATCCTTATTCCTTTATTAGCCTTTTAAACATGGAAAACCAAAACACTGAACTGTTTTTAAGTTGCATTTTTTTCTCGTTCCAGTGAGATGTAGTTTGATACTTGGCAAACTGCATCAGTTGTTTCTGGGTGATTTAACTTGAGAGATGAAAACAGAGTTCTGAGTGTTTGCATGCAGAATTCTGGGGCTGCAGCTGCACAACTTCTTCAGCTCTGTCAGAAAATGCGTTGGGTTTTGTTTTTTAATGGGCCGGATAAGAAATGCATTTTGACACAAAAGTCATTCCAGGGTAGTGTATTTTTTATGAGAAACATAATTTAGGGAGAGTTGTGCAGATGAAATGTGTCTGAAATGTTTTCTCATGCTCAGGTTTCTTTCTGCAGTGTTTAGAAATATGTAAATAGTATAAATGCTCAGTGGTACAGGAACAGACAAATGCAAAGAATGCAGGGCTGGAAACAAAAGTTATAGTTACCTCTGTAAAATGCTTTCAGAGTAATTTAATCTGATGGTGAAAAAAATGTGAATTTCCTTTTTGGCTTATCCTGATGCTTCTTGGGCTGTTTGCATTTTGAATAATTTTTCAGCTGTTAAATTATTTATAATTGAAAAGTATTTCCAAACATAGATTTGCCAGGGTTTTTTAACATCAACAGCCGTGCATCAAGTGAAGATTGACAATATTTTTAACTTCACTGTGAGCCTTAAAACCCCTAGTTTTGCAGAAGTTGGGCTGTGTCAGGTCCTGAAGCTGCTGCAGTGATGCCTCCTCGTGCCTGTTAGCTGAGGGCAGGAGCTGTGAGGAGCTTCTTCGTCCTCGTGTGTCTGGGAAAGTTATTATTCTCATAAATTAAGTGTGCTGAGAGTCAGTTAATAAATTTTTATGTGTTCTATAAATTATCTGCGTTTTCTACCATACAAACCTGCCTGTTATATTGAAGGAAAGCTTTTTTTAGTAGTAACTCTGATCCCTGACAGTCAGTAGAACCTGTGCATGTCTTCAGGGCAACTCCTGGTCTTCCTTTTAACAACTGCTCTCATTGCTGTCAGTATTTTGACAATATAACCTAAATATAAAATGAAATTAGCAGACCCAAATGATTTTGTGTGTGTCTAACACATTATATTTATACTAAAGCAGAACTTCTTGCATTTTTGCATTGTTTTGTTAGTTTATTTCTAACATGTTCACTGTGTGGTTTCTGTTGAGCTGTTGAATGTGAGCTGTGAATAAGAAATCTTCATGGTGTTATTTTCTCCTCGTCTTTTGTATATCTTTTTCTGCTCCCAAATATTATACTTTTGAAGTTTAAAAAAAGATACAGATTTCTACTTTCTTTTATATATATGTATATTTTATATCTCTCTCTGTATCATTCCCTCTCTCTCCTCACAAGGGATTACAGAACAGCCTTGGTTTATTTTTCCTTCAGAAGAATACAGTGTAGTAATTCTTTTGTGTTTAACACTTAAGGGCTCTCTATTGCCACTGCAAAAGGGTGTGACTAGTTTATCCAGATTGGCACATTTTTTGTACAAATCAGCAAGATCTGAAATCTTTGCATTCTTCTTCCGAGTGTGCGTCAGCGGCTGGTGATCTGCTCCGCTCAGAGCAGAAAGCAAATGAAGCTGTTGTTAAGCAAAGGCCGTGGAGACAGGACAGGAGTTGTGCGGTAAATATTGCGGGGCCAACAGTGAAAACTCAGTCGGTGGAGATCTGTTGATGCAGGAGCAGAGCAGGAGTGTCTGTCAGCAGCAGAACACACCGGCGGAAACTCAATGCCGTCGCTGTGCTCTCGCTGAGAGCAGCCGTGAGTGATACCAGCATTATGAGCCTCTGACAGCACTGAGGAGCTCCAGGTTTGCCTATGCAAATGCCACAGACCAGCCGTGCATTTTCATGCAGATCTGTGCCATTGTAGCCCAGTCCAGATGTTCTGCAGCTCTGCTGTTCTTATGGCTGGATTTTATGGGCTTTTCCAACAGAAATATCAAACTATGCAGTGACTTAGCTGAGTCTAGCGAAGACAAAGGCTGAGCAGGATTTTATTGCAGTTGTGGCCAATTCTGACAGTAAAACTCAAATCTCCAAAATGCAAAGCTCTAAGAAAGTCTATTTGAAGAAGGTATTTTATTTCTTGAGAGATGTGGAAGCAAACGAACACAAACCCCTTACTCCTGGGCCAGGAAGCACATACACTCATGGGGTATTTCCACTCTTGAACGTGCAGTGTCTGACTGATTTGGGCATTGGGACCTCAGCGTTCTTTGCTGGTAACACATGAAAGTTTGTGATTCATGTTGAGTTCAATTTTCAGTTACTTTTCTTAGCTGAGAACAGCAGCTCTGAAACCTGACGTGGTACTGCCACGTTCGCTGTGGGTCACGGGAAGGTTTCCGCTGCAACACCTCAGTCATAGAGGCTTCTACAATGTCCTAGTGCTGTTCGACTGGCCACAATGTGCCGAAAATAGCAACATTTTATCTTCTCATCCCACTCTGCTCTCCTCCGCCCTGGGACTTTGTGAGCTTTTACACCCAAACCCTGTTCTGGAGGCTGTGCTGGATATGTGGGGTTTGCTTCTGCTGTTGAAGGAGTTTAGTCGCATGAATTTAATTTCATGCATATATATTTTCTACAAATTCCTGTTATAGATAACTAAAAATAAATTGTGGGAACTTCTCCCCCTAATAATTGCTGTGCTTGTTGTGTTTTCCACTTATTCTTTTCCTTGTAAGTTTTGGATTGGTATCCAAAGTTTTATATTAACATTCAAACTTTTTTTTTTTTGCCTAAAGAACTAATTTTTGTTGCTGATGCAGTTTCATGAAGAGTTGGCAAAATGCTGCCTCAGCCAGCTGCATGTTTATCTGGACATACTGAAGTCGCATAAAGAGAAGGGACAAATCACTCTCAAGCAACGACATTGTATTTGTAAAACTAAGTTAATTTCCCTTTTGATGTTAACAAGCTGATTGCTCCTTTCTTTCCCCGTAGCATTGAGAGGATTGCAGTGGCATTCTAAGGTCATTTAAAACCATGACAAGCTCAGTCGGACAGAAGAAAGTCTCGTCCAGACAAAGGAAGTGTGGGTTCTGCCGCTCCAACCGGGATAACGAATGTGGGCAGCTGCTGATGTCGGAGAACCAGAAGGTGGCGGCGCATCACAAGTGTATGGTGAGAGCCGGGACGGGGATGGAGCCGGGAAAACATTCCAAACACGTGCACAGTCCAGCGCGCTTGGAATTGGCACACGTGATTAACCACTGCCGTTTGAAATTTTTGTGGGTTTCATGTCTATAAATGTTCCCTCTCGCTCATACCCTTCAAAGTTAAAATCCAAGTTCTGTCTTTGCTGTTTTAGCTGTTCTCGTCCGCACTGGTTTCCTCACACACTGATAATGAGAGTCTTGGGGGATTCTCTATTGAAGATATTCAGAAAGAAATAAAAAGAGGCACCAAACTGGTGAGTGTCTGGTTTTGGCTCTTGCAAATGGAAGGCAATATTTCCTTACCTGCCATGAGGTTTACAGTGAACTTGTTCAGTGGGTTATATCTGGGTATGTGTTTGGTAGAAGTGCTGCCTTTGTGTGAGCTCTGAAATAACTTACAGAAGAAGACATTGAAGTAAAATCGGTCTCAGGTTTATGAACAGAAAACCTCAGTAGACATTGAAATGCAATTTAAATGTCAGTTAACCAACCCTGGAAGTGTCTGCAGGACAAAAAGTAGTTTGTTGATTTCAGTCAAGTTCTGTTCTCACATAAACATGTTATTTTAAGAATTGTAGCTTAGGCATGAAATAATAATTCTGAATTTATTTTTTAATAATTTTTTTGTCGTATTTTCCATCATTGGCCAATGTAGACGGTTGTAGCAGATGTGCATTTTTTTTCAAGCATATTTCAAAACTCCTTTACAAAATATGCCCATTTTTCTCTTTCATGAGCTGCACATAAGCAGTGATTTCTATTTAATATTTTCTGTTAGGTTTCTTAAAGAAACACACATTCTAGGGACCTGGCAAGGACATTTTTGTGCCTTTACCAGGACTTGGTTTTGCTTCCAAAATCTGACTTTAACTACCAAAGGAACTTTTATTGCACCTTTTGTATTGACTGATGCTGTGAATGTAGATGTCTTAGGAGGTGTGTGAGTACAATAGTGATTACACCTTGACCAAATCAGTGAGGTTGGGCAGCAATGACTTTTTTTAGTTCCTGAGAAGCAAATTCCTGAGGGGTTTTTAATTTTTATTTTCTTTTAAATTTAGATTTAGTTGTTTTCCATTTGGGGAAATAAGTGAGGTTATTTTTAAAATAACTTTAACATATGATCAAATTGCTCCTTATATTAAAACCTTTCAGCTGAATTATTTAAAGTACTTTATTTAGCTGTTCTCGGACTGCTAAGAGAAGTCCAAAGTGTTGTTGTGGAACTACAGTTATATAATAATAGTCTAATATTTCATTTGAATCTTTTCCAGCACAGGGAACTTTATTTTCTCTCATTGGCTGAAGCATAAAGAAATAACTGTTCACAAGTGATTCATGTTGTCATTAGGAATTTCCAAAGAACATGGTAGTAAAGGGAACTAGAGATCTTAAAGAAACTTTTAGATTCTTGGGTCTCTTAGAGGTTTTTTTTTAAGGTTATTTCTTTTTATGTCTTTGGAGGTTTCTGTCTCTTCATTTCTGAACCTCTTTATGTTCCTTTCCTGATGCAACAGCTGCACAGAGTCAGTGCACTGTGAGTTAAGTAATTATAGGGAGAGCTTGGACTAAACTTGTCTGCTGACAGGATTTCCATAGTCTGTCTCCTTCAGGAGGTGCTGCTGGGCAGCTGTGCACTGAAAATCGAGGCCAAAGTGACTGATTGACACGTTGGAGCCCTTCTGACTGCAGTGTAGATCTGCCTGAGAAAAGTTGTAGGTTCAAACCTTAATGGGTCACTCATAAAAACTTATGAAGTCTAAATATTTGGGAGTACAAGGCACTGATACCTTCACTATTTCTGTTAGCTGTGCAGGGAGGATTGTGTTTTTTTAAAGAACTGATCTATTTTGCAGCTTGTCAAACTTCACATGTACCTGATAGGGAACTAATGGCAGTGACTGCTTGGACAGCAGGACTTGTGCCAATGGGATAAATGTTTTATTCCTTACAGGAAACATAGACCAATAAATAAATCTAAAATTTTGTGTAGTCTGTTCTGTTCATAAAGACACATCATGGTGTTTGCAGAAGGTTTTATTTCAGTCATTTCTGCCTTTCAAAAACCTGAGGTACTGACTACAATTGATTGGATAGGTATCATTTCAGCCTAGGCTTCTATGAAAAGCTTTGATCAGCAATTGTTATGTATTAAACCATAATGTATAACAGATTCATGAGATGAAACACCCAGACAAATTGGATAACAACTAGGGAACAGTATATAACTGCTGTTTCAGAGCTTGCAGAGGAGTAAATGGAGATGATCCTCTTTGACATTTTTACTGTTCAGTTGACTTTGTTAAAATTGAAACACAGCCTAGTGGTATATTTGGTACCTTTGGGGATATATTTTTTTTGGCATATTTGAGACTTGACTAAGCAAGTGCATTGAGCAGAAAATGTATCCACAAAGGTATATGTAGGTGTATCCTACATTGCACAACTAGGCTTATGGATTTGGAATTGATTGTAACCTTTCAGGGGCTTAGGCAACATGCAGGATACAAGGAAAAAGCTCCAGTTGTTGTAGGAGGTGAGTTTAATGGGAAATTCTGGGATTTTTAGAGCAATCTTATGCCAGTAAAATATAATACAGATAAAAATATTGTTCTACTGTCCATGATTTCCTTTCCTAGCACAGTATAAGGACCATGAGCAACTTAGGAGTGTCACAGCTGACATTTCCTAAGCATTGAGTCTCATATAGAATCATAGAATTTAAGGGTTGGAATGGACCTTACAGATCATCTCCTCCCAACCCCTGCCATGGGCAGGGACACCTCCCAGCACACCAGGATGCTCAGTGCTTCATCCAACCTGGCCTTGAACACTGCCAGGATTGGGGCAGCCACGGCCTCTCTGGGCAACCTGTGCCAGTGTCTCACCACCCTCACAGGAAAAAACTTTTTCCTAATATCTAATCTAAACTTTCCCTCCCTCAATTTGAACCCAAACATGAGAAGAATTAATGGGAAAGAAGAGTAAATCAACAGGCTCCCATTTACCTTTTTCTGCAAAATAAAGAGCAAAATTTAATCTAATTGAAATGAATTCATTGTATTTAACAAATATTTCATTGAATTCAGTGGTTTGGAAATGACCTAAGGAAATAACCTAAGGAAAATGGAAGTAAAGTTAGCTGCTGATGCTGAGGAAAATTTGCAGGTCATCAGTATTTCTGAGTGCAGGATTCATTGCCAAGTGGATGTCTTTTTCTTTTACCCCTCCTACCGTCATAATTTAATTCAGAATTAAACAGGTACAATTTATGATTTTAACTTCTCTGAAATGGTTGGTACAAACAGAGTATCCCTGGGAGTGCTACTGAGTTGAAGAGCTGTGTCACTTCCATTCAATACATTCCACAAAAATAAATTACTTACTGTCTTCATTGAATGGATAATCAACCTCTGGTGGTTATTGCTCTGCTGCATAATTGCCACAGATCTCTTGATTATACAGTGAATAATGAGAAACACCTGAGAGCAGGAAGAGGAATCCAAGTGCATTTGTTTTGTCACCAGGAATGGTAACTCTTGTGTTTGAACTCAGAATTCCCAAGCCAACAGTAAGAGGAATTGTGCTTTCATTTTCTCTCCAGATGTGCTCTCTATGCCACTGTCCTGGAGCGACCATTGGCTGTGATGTGAAAACGTGTCACAAGACATATCACTACTACTGTGCTCTGCATGATAAAGCTCAGATAAGAGAGAAACCTTCACAAGGCATTTACATGTAACTATTCTTTATTTGCTCTGTTTGTTTTTCTGTTTATATTTCACATTCTTTGTTTAAAAAAAACCAACAACAAAGCAAAACGAAAAACCCACTTTGGAATCTAAGCAAAACTTGCAAAAAAGTTCTAATGATGATTGTGGCATTCAAACAGTGATGTGCTAGAAAAGCATATTTTCACTGCGAGATTTGTTTATCAGTGAGTCTTACAAGTGGGAGAAAAATGTACTGGCATTTAAATTTAAAAGATGAGTAAATAACTTGTGAATCGTGACTGACTTGACAGTTTTCAACTACTTTGTTTATAGGATTTTATGTCGAAAACACAAGAAAACTACGCATAACTCTGAAGGTAAAATTATTCCATATAAATTTTTCCCATTATAGAAAGATACTTGCTTAAATTTCATTTTTCTGGAGAATGTTTTCAGTAAAAATTAGAGCTACTTTTTTTTTTTTTTTGAGAGAGAGAGACAATGAGTTTGGAAGTCAATCTGAGTTCTGTGTTTTCTCTAAAAATTATTGGTTGAGGTGGAGAGAAACCCAAACCATAAATTTTAGGGTGTTCTAAAGATATGATGCTCCATGAAAGCAGAGTTTGGATAGAAGTTACTCATTCCCTTCTGGGAAGAAGCTGGCTCATATTTGTAGTTAAAATTAACATCTGAAATATTTGTCAGGTAACAGCTGATTTTTGCTACTGCTAACGTTCCTAAATATTCACTGGTTTTGGAACTATTGAACAGAGCTTAACTCTTTAAATACTAAGCACCCAATAGTGAATGAAAAGGGCTATGATCAGGTCACTTACAGATCTATTTCTGAGTCATTTTGGTTAAAAAAAGCTGTGTGGATCATTCATAAAAGCTGTATATCTTTGCAGAGGAGAGAAGTGAAATGCCACAAACGCAGATAAATCCTGTGGTCTGTTAAAATTCCAAACTAGTTGTGCTGATGTGCATTTATTAAGGTCTTTTTCCTTGTTTCTACTATGTCTGAGTTTGGGTAAGCAAACAGTTGGTAGTTTGCCTTTTGCATTGCTTTCACCTGAAATGTCATCAGACTGAACTGATGAGCAGTAAGTGACTGTTCAGTGAGGATCAGATTTCATCAATTGCTTCAGTCTCTCTGCCAAGTATATTTTTGAGGTAATATTCTGCTTTTATGCTGTGGGTAGGAGATACATTAATGATGAGGTTTGGATACTACTTCAGTGTTCAGAAAGGTACTGAAGGCAGTAGAAAATCCCAAATGAAAATGCATTTTTTTCTCTTTAGTCTGTTAAATCATTATTGTCATGTGCTTATATATAAAACTCTCATTTGGCTTTTACTGGGTTTAAATAAGAGAAGTCATGGTAGTTCTCCAAAGAGACAAGGCCACGTTGTCTTGTTGTTTGGCACTTTGTTTCTTTGCTTTGGGGGTTGTATTGTGTGTTAGCAGAAACAGAATGTGAAAGACATTTGAGTCCAGAGATATTAATTTCTTTAACTAATTTTTAAACATAATCTTTTATACTTGCTCACAAATGGCTCAGTGTTTGTCATCTGTGTAAAATGCCTCCAGTTCTGCATGGGGCAGACCACAGCTCCTGCTCAGAATTCCTTGCAGGATCTGAGCTTGTGCTGTAAGAGTTTTCAGAAATCATTAGCTCCAATTTTAGTGTCATTTTCTAACAGCAAAGACTTTTACATTGTATGTGAATAGATCTGTCTGAGAAGACATGGGAAAAATTCCTGGAGGCATAATGGCTTTTTTCTTAAGTGCTGATTGTGGCAGTTTATTAAAACATTAAACTAGACTCATCCAAAGAGACTTTTAGGTTGAGGGCAGGAGAAGAGGAATAAGCAATATAACTCAGAAAAGCTGAGGCCTAAGAGCCCAATGATATCTTAGTTAGCATTTAACTTTGCCCACATTTTTTTGTTCAAAATATTTAGCTCTGTTATGCTTTACACTTGTAGAAATAACTTTGCACTTCTAGAAATATGTGTAGCTATACTTCACAGTTCTGTTTTCTGATTTCTGTTCAATATGTGACTGAAATTCTACCCAGTGCTCTTTTTAGTCCATGCAGTTTAGGAAACTGTACCCATAGAATAATCATTACTTACAGTTGTGGATTTGATAATGCCAGAAGCTGCAGCTCTTTTGTGAGAGACTTTTAAATCAAAGGAAGTAGAAACATATTTCATCTGTCTGATACAATGCTGCAAGTAATTTCCATAGCAATGGTATTTTGCTACTTTGAGAACTAATTGCCTGTAGCAGACAGAAAAATACAGGGTGGTTTTCAGAGTTTCAGAAGGGACTTGGGAGGGTTTGTTTCTTAATGTTTAAATGCTGAAGTTTGCTTAGTGAAATGACAACCAGAAGGGGTTGGATGGTGAGATGAAGCCTTATATATGTATTTTATTTCTTGTTGAAAATGTGAATGTCAAGGAGGCATTTAAATGTGAAAGAACAGTGGGGTGTGAAACCAGAAAGGACTGGTGAGAGAGAGAGAGAGAAGACTGATGCTAACATAGCAGCTTTTTTTTCCTCTTGTTTCAGTTTCACTTTCGTGAGTCTTTGCTCTTAGCACTGTTTTCATAACAGAATGGTTAAAGCTCATCTGTGGTTCTGTCACTCAGTGTCACAGGGACACTGGAATTATCAGTCTTTAATGGAAACTTATTGCTCAGCTCTGTTTTTTTAAAATTTTTTTTCTGGGGTGGTTTTGTCCTTGTTCAGTTTCAAACATCTGTGTGTTTTATCCTTTGTTCTCTGCATCCAGATTTAATTGTTGCAGTCCAAATATTTGTATTATGTCACTTCTGTCAGTAGGTGTTTGAAGAGATTTTAGGAGGGTTTGGTTTGGTTTGTCCAGAGCAGTTTATTTTCTTCAGGCAGCACTGCTGCATAGCAGTGAGATTTTTCCTTCCCTTCCCTAGAAGATAGATGCTTTGGGATTGTACTTGCTTAAGTCCAAGATCTGACTTGTACTTTTGTTAGCAGTTCTAGTTTAAAAATAATATCTGTTAACCATTTAGTAACAGGTTCAGAAAATTTTTGAGGCTGCATAGAAATGTGGTTGAAGGAGTTCCGCTGAAATTAAAAGTTACCCAGGAAAACTTAATAAAAAGGACCTCTTAGATGTTATTTATTGCTGTCATGAAGTTCAAGTGGTGTAAGGATTCATCAGACTTGGTATCTCTCTGCTCATCAAGACAGAATTAATGAGCAATGGGAGTTCATTTTCCTTTAATTGACAGGAGCTGCTGAACTACCTTCTGTTTTCTTTGAACTGAAAAGTGGGAAACACAGCAGCAGAGTCTTGTGCTCTTAAGTTCATTGTCTGTTGCAGCAGTTGGTTTGTCTCATTACCTGTATGTCCTGACCTTCAGATGATACAGAGCAGGAAAATTCTATTTCTCTGGTATTTCCTTTGTGTGCTTCAGAGTGATTCTTCCGTGCTGTATTCCCACTAACTGCAAAAAGGACATCTAGATTTTTGCCTTGCTAGCTGCAAACCTGACAAAATAACCTTACCTGAACTTCAGATAATAGCTTAATTCATGATTTCAGCCAAGCTGTCTCAGCTTTCAGTACCTAACAGGTTACAGGAATTGTTGCCAGTGCTTTCCTACTGTCACAGCTAACTATTAGTTGAATTACTGTGCAGTTTGATACAATTGCATTTATTCTTTTTGAAGAATGGAGTATTGTTGGACTAAGGTTTTGGAACTGTTTGTTGGGATTTATTCCGATGCACTGGAAATAATTGTTGGAAAATGGAAAAACTGTTCTCTCTCAGTTCCCTGCAGGTGGGGCTTAAAACTAATTCAGCTGCTCAGGAATGGTGTAATATAAACTAAGATGAAAATGTAATTTCATTCTTCTGTTACACAGAGGTAAAACGAAGAGTAGCGAAGAGAGACGTCACTCCTGTTGTTAATGTGTAAAGCAGAAGCTTGAGAGCTGTGGGGTCAGAAAATAAAATGTCCATAATTCCTGTTGTAGCTGTGCTCACAGCCTCAGAGAATTATATTTCCCCAATGGCAATAAGGACATTCCCTGTCTCAGCATCCTCTTCATATTATTCTGAAGGTCAAACATGGAATCTGTGCTACTCATACTGCTCAGTACGTTGAGTCAGGATAATATTCTCTGTGAGACCTATTTAGGTGCTGCAATCCACAGCAAACCGAGTCCTTGTTCAAAGCACTGTGAAAGCCAGAGGGGAAAAACATCTGAAACTTTTTGGCATTATAGTTAGGTAACATTCTGATTCATCTTTGGATTCTTTCAGCAGTGTTTGCTCCCTGTTGCATGTTCTGTAGCAGTGGCTGCAGCAGACGTTTGCATCAGTGCACTCAGGTCTAACAGTTGCTGCAGCATTGCAGTTTTTTGGTTCTGTTGGAGGATGGTGACAGATTCTTCCTGGGCTCTGCTGGCTCAGCCTGCTTGTTGTCTGTCTTCTGGAGAATGCTCTGGATGTGGCATCAGATGTTTACGTGGTATTCCCACAAAAACAGTCAGTCCAGGCAGTAAATTGGTGATGTTCCAGTACAGACTAATGAGGGTTTGTGCAGAAGCATCACAATGGGGTTTTCTTATGGGAAAACACACAGCTGAAGGAAAAGGAAAAATGTCAAAGTCATGTGGAGAATGGTTTGTCCTATGGTGTTTTGATTCTCCTTCTCATCTAGGCAAGGTGGTAGACAAGCAGAAGCTCAGTCAGCTAACTGATACGTGAGAGGTTTATCATACCAGTGCTCATAAGCTTTGTGATTGGGCAAAGAAGCCAAGTGTCTTGTCTGTCTTCAGTCCTTGCCAACGTTTGTTTGCTTGAAAAAGCATTCAGGTTGTGTGGCTATGAAGGACTGTTTTATCCATTTTCCATATTAAATATGCTTAATTACAAAAATAATCTCAAGTGCTTTAGAACATAGGTACCATTCAGTCAAAAATAACTGCTGGACAAGAGTCATCAGTTCCTTGAAGTATTTTGTACCTTTGGAAAAGATATTAGTGGTAGGACCTAAAGGATCATTTAATTTTTTTCTTCTCTACTCTTACTTTAGTTTAGATATGTTTCATGTAACTTAGTCTTTTTCCACAGAAAAAGAAACCTCCAAAATTACATTCAGCATTTTGATTGTTAATTTCACATCATTTGCTGATAACTGCTGTTATTTCATGGTCAGTTTACCTGATTTTGTGTTTGCTTGCAAGGGGTTTTGTGCAAATCTCTGGTTCTTATTAGTGCTTATAGATGAATCACATTTTTAGTATTAAATACTGGGCCAATACAGTTTTCTGGGGGTTTTTTGACATTTCAGTTTAAAATCATCATGTTGGCACATATGGTTCATTGGGTTTCAGCCATATTTTAAGGTGATCTTACTTTAACATACTGAGGTACTTTCTTCTTTCTCTGTTATATTCTGTTTCTCTTCTAAAAATCTAGTAGGCTTGATTTTGTTCTTTGAATTTTTTTACTTTCTCTTTCATCCCAAATGCCTTGTAAAACTTCAACTACACATGTGTGATTTCAGATTTACATAGCAGCATGTCTGAGCCACTTCCATATGACAAATTTTGGCTTCTTTTTATGTCCAGTCCTACTTGCAAATACAGTTTGCCAGTCAGTTTTGTTAATCATCTTCCTCACACAGACTCAGCTCCCTTTGCTTCTGGCTCACTTAGTCTGTTGTTATAGGTAATTGAAGAGGTCTGTAGAGCAGTGTTTATGGAACACATCCTCTTTTTATTTGTTCCTTCACAAGCTTTAAATCACTTGATTATTTTGTTGTTTCACTTTACTGTAGCTTTAGGAAGGGATGATTCCATGTGTATTTCAAGCTGGTGCAATCTAGAATAGATCAGTGATATCTCAACCTCTTCTCTGCCAAGCCTTATTTTAAACAGCAAAACATCTTGATCTTTTTCCTTGTAGCCGTGATCAAAGGAGAAATTTTAGATTTCTCTCTGAAGCTCAGTCTCCCTGTGAACAGTTGATGTAAGACAGCATTTTGCCAGGCTCCTTCCTGTGGTACCTTGTACTGCTCGTGGATTTCTGAAATGCAGAGTGGGGGCTTGTTGCTGCTCATCTCTTTTGTTCATCTGAATTTACAATACCATATTCTTAGGGGCTTTTAAAAATGTATATTGTTTTCTCTTGATTTCATAGAATCATGGAATTTTAGGAGCTGGAATGGACCTTACAGGTCATCTAGTCCCATGGGCAGGGACACCTCCCCTGAGAGCAGGTTGCTCAAGGTTTCATCCACCTTGGCTTTGAACTCTACCAGGGCTGGGGCATCTACTACCTCCCTGGGCAACCTGTGCCAGTGTCTCACCACCCTCACAGGAAAAAACTTTTTCCTAATATGTTTTCTACCCTTAACTCCCCTTCTCAAGCCTGACTGTGTACTGAGCTCATGTTTTCAGATCTAGTGTTTAGGGACTTCTGAGGGAAGCTCATAGATAGCTCCTGTGCAGACTTTAGTTAAAGTTACATTGAGAATATTGTGATGATTTAAAAAATCAATGCAGTGAGGGGATATGGGATGGGGGGAAGCTGAGGAATATCTAGAGAGTCTCAGGGGATTCAGAGGATGGGTGAGATCCGTGATAAGCATCACCTGGTCAGGGAGGAGTTGAACAACTTTTTGTGTTTTCCTTAGTTCAAGCTGACATGAGAAGTTGGAAACACCCAACCATCAGATGCCAGGGACACAGGGTAAGCTGGCAGTGGGCTTGAGGGGAGGGATAGGGCACCAACCAAATGGTATATGAAACATAAAGACCACCCAAGGCAGGTGTGTTTGCAGCTGGTTACAGTCTGTTCCATTGCACTAGTGCATAGTGCTGTAAAAACAAGAGAACTTTAACCTTTGAGGTATCAGTCTGACAGGTACATGTGGCAGAGCAGATCCTCACAAATTGGTGGTGTTAGTTTGTAGGTCCATGTCACTTGCAGGAGGAGACCTAAAGGAATTGTATTTTCATGAAAGAGTCTTGTAGCATCTTGATTTCAGTGAAGTCTGGACTTTTCTGGAAGGACTAGTTTGGAGCACAGAAGAGGAGTTCTCCTTTGAGGAAAGCTGTGTGATCTTCATGGCTTTTTATGTTACATTGAAACCATCTTTTAAAAATACATAATTTTTACTTGTCAGATCTTAAATATACTAATAGTTGTAGGCTAAAAAATAGAACTGAAGAACTTACTCTCTTAGGAGGCTGTGGCATTTCTAATCAAAAGTTGGATTTCAGTGTGTGTGCTTGGTTTTGGCAATTATGATTCAAGCCCAGTTTTGTAAGTGTGACTGTGGAGAGTTCAGGACATGCTTTGATGTTATTTAGAAAATAAGGGTGGACTAAGGGGGGGAAAGCATTGTGGTTGGCAGAATGATAAGGAGCTTTCGAAAAAAACAAGGAATGATGATGAATGGACTACATTTTTCTTCATCAAATACAGCAGGGAAATCCATGGGATTATTTTAGAAGGAATATTTTAAACTTCTTCCTGGTGTTATTTAAAGGATCACAAGTTCAACAGTCATATTTTTGTAAGACTTTATTTTTCTAGACTAACTATCTATGATTTCTGTTAATGTAAAAATAGAGATCCACAGATTTCTTGTAGTAATTGGTGGAGAACTCGTGATGAGGAACAAGATAAGATAATGCTTCTCTTTGGAAGAGGTTTTCAAGGGTGTAACACAATTCGCTCTATGCAGTCTGAAAAGTCGATATCTAAATTGCATAATCTTGTTTGAGGAACTCAGCAAGTGATGATAAATGAAAACTAACATGAAGTAGTAAATTCTGAGGAGAATATGTAAAATGTATTGTTCCATCAGATAATCCATGTCATCATGTGTTTTGTTTTCTCAGAGTAAAATAAATGGAGCTTTTGACATCCCGTTCGATTAGAAAAGAGTAGTATATATGTTACAGAATAGGGATGTTGTAGACAGCCTGATCTATTTTGGTAGTGACTTGGGCATATCTGCACATAGCTGAGTCATCTGTCAGTTGAAACCAAAATAATTTGCAGATCTGTATAAACGTCAGTATAACCTGTTGTGATGCTCTTGGGTGAGTTTTCTGTCCTTCACTAATAACTGTGCAGAAGCCTTAGCTTTCCCAGGGATTAGCACAGATAGGACAGACTGAGCTGCACGAGATGCCCTTGTGTGCCAGGCTGGGGCCAGGGGTCAGGTGTCTTCTGCTCCCAGCTGGTGCCTGTGGAGTATGTTCAAACTTTTGTGCAGCTGAGTCACTGTTAATTCTGAGACAGAAATGTGGTTTCATTTTTATGTGGTAAGAGATAAGAAAGACGAGTTCTGGCAAAGCAGCATTTAGCCTCAAAACAAGGTGTCCTGTATGGATATTAAAACCATATGGCAATATCTGTAAGGTAGACATTCCAAATCTTCTGATTACCATTTCCTTCTGTTTGGGGGCTCATACTGGTGTTTGTGGTTTAGATTTTGAGAAGAAAAGTCCCTCAGCAGGGTCTGTGCATGTGTCCTTTAACAAGTCTGCCAAAAGGTGTTTGCAGTGGAGCAGGGGTGGGTTACATGTCTGAAGAGAAAGAGAAGGCTGCTCCTGCAGGCAGAGGTTATTAGATATAGCTATCAGCTATAACTTAACCAGATCTTAAGCTTGCAGAATTGATCTGTATTAGCTGTAGAGCTTTGAGCACTCCCAAGGACAATCTGCTCCAACGCTGGACGACAGCTCTGCGTAGCAGTCAGCACCTGAGCTGATGTTTGCAAAGGAACTTGTCAGACCTCCTTGGGGAGTCTATGTTAAAAATGTACATTATTACATTCTTAACTGTCTGTAAATACTTTTCCAGGGATGTTGTCAGTGTGGATGATTTTCTGTAAACTGTTGGCTGCGTTTAGCTGTAGATGTACAAATACACAGTAACAAAACGATGTCATAGATTTGTTTCAGAGGCAAAATACATTTCAGTTTCAAAACTTGATGTTAATGGTATAGCCAAATGGTGAATTTTTTTTCTGAAGGCAACAGGCATTAGTTAATGAAGCAAGGAGAGAGGTGTGACTTGGATACACTGCCATGATATCAGGGGCAATTTACGTTGGAGTTGTGCATCCTAAAAAATTCAATTAAAAGCTTATTTCAGGGGTGAAAACGGTTCCTGGCTTCAGTGTAGTTTAATGAGTCAGTGGAGGTACAGATACGTATCTGAGGTCACATCTTGGGTCTGGAAGTTGTAAGAGATGCTAAACCTTCATATGTTGTAAAGATGCAAATCTGTGTGTATGTATAAAGAAGTAAATCATGTTTTCAGGATCTGCACTTGCATGTTTTGTAATAAATGGGGAAAAGTTGCTATTTTTATTTCTGGCAAAATACAGAAAATACAGGTTATGTTTTTTCTTGCCTGGTTTTGGTTTTGGGGGGTTGTGTATTTTGGGTTTGTTTTTTTTTTCTTGGTTTGTTTTGTGTAAATTTTTGAGAATCCTATTTGATGATGTTTTCTAACTTCTAAAGCAGATTTAGAAGAAAGTATCAATGAACACGAGTTGGAGCCTTCACCTCCCAAAGGAAAGAGGAGGGGTCGTAAGGGAAAGCCAAGGAAAACAAATTTAAAAGGGCAATCAGAAGACACTAGATCTACGTCCTCACATGGCACAGATGAAATAGAAAGCAGTTCCTATGTAAGCAGTAAATATGCTAAACTTCTTAGAAGACAGAATTTTATTCTCTACACATATAATTTTTATTAAAATTTGCATTTGTCTGAGCCTCCAGCTGGTGGCCACAGGCTTGTAAAATTACAACCTTACTTGTAACCCAGCAGTATATTTTAGTAAAATGTTTTTCTTTCAGAGAGACAGGTCTCCCCACAGAAGCAGCCCCAGTGATACAAAACCTAAATGTGGATTCTGTCATGCAGGTGAAGAAGAAAATGAAGCTAGAGGAAAGCTTCATATATTTAATGCCAAAAAGGCTGCAGCACACTATAAGTGCATGGTGAGTAACAGTGTTGTTATCCAGGCTGTTCTGTGAATTTTGTCTGAATTGCTCTTTTAGATTTCAGTACAGTACCCTCACATGTACTTATGCATGAGCATTGTCTGTGTGCTGATGATCTCTTTAAGCACTGGAGTGTTGCAAAGTGAGCAATTCATTTATTTTCACTGCGGGCAATATGGATGAAAGTTGGCTTCGTGCTAAGAGATGGAATTAGCTCAGGGAGACTCTTCAGCTTATTAAAAAGGCTCCCTTAGTGTCTAAATGCACATAAAGTATTTAAAAAGGAACAGAGAAAACAGTTTTACCAAAAAGAATCCACTCCAAAAATAAACCAGCTTTGCTCCACAGGCATTCAGACACCGTCCGGGAAGAATCCATGAGCTTCATTAGTGTTCTGACCTGTGGATTCAGGCTGTGACTCCAGTAGAATGGGATGTGGAAGGTCTAGAAAACCCCTGCCTTTAGATGATCACATTCATAGGACTGTCAGCCTGAACAGAACCTCATTTCAATAAACATGAGCAGATAGTTCTCCCTTTCATATCACTTGGTGTGTGAAGGAGGTGTAGAGCTCTGGGTGACAAACCTCAGTGGTTCCTGTTGTTCCTCAAAATGAATAAATAATCCAGGCAATCTGTGGAGTTTTAATTAAGTGGCTTCCTATACCCAGCTCACTAAACAGAGCTAGTGTGTGCCTTGAGTCTTACAGGATTCTTTGCTACTTTGTGTTCCTGAGCTTCAGTTTTGAGCCAGTTTCAGCTGAATATAGCAGGATGATGGTAGAAGGGATGGTATGTGCTCCCTTGTCATCCCTCAAGGCTTTTCAGGTATATTTACATCAGCACACCACGAGGCTGAATTGTATACGTGTCACAGGGAAGGAAATGGAATATTCCTAAAAAGTTGAGTGGTGTAATTGATAATATTGCCCATTTATTACTTTGTGTTTTCATCCTGTTGTTATTTCTTGTCAGCTGCTTTGTCTTTTGAAATACATTTCTCCAAGGCAACGACTGTAATGAAAGCAGTCAGGTGGGGATCAGAAGGAATATTCATCATACTAATTACTCAGCATGGGGTTTTTCCTAGTTTGTTGGTAAAGCACATGTGGCTGAGATCAGGGAAGGGAATGTTCATACTCAGTTATTCCTGCAGGAAAAAAAATTTCAATCACGTTGGTTACCTGAAATTATTTTGACTTGCTTATGTTACAGTTATTCTCTTCTGGCACTGTCCAGCTAACAACAACTTCAAGGGCAGAGTTTGGTGATTTTGATATCAAAACTGTACTTCAAGAAATCAAGAGAGGAAAAAGAATGGTATGTACATACAGAATGTGGTTCTGCTGAGGTGTCTAAAGCTCTGCCTCCTTCCTTTTGTGGAACAATCTTTGCCATCTGTTTCTAAACACAAAATTTAAATATGCTGTTACTTGTGGGACAAGCAGCCAGATAGGAATCACCTTAGAAATTAGTGGTGATGGGGCATGTGGTGTTTAGGCTTCTGTATGACAAGGTGCATCGTAAATTATCGTTATCCTGTCATCATAGAACCCTGTGAGTCATATTACCCTTCCTGTAACTGTGAGAGAGTAACAGCTTTGGGCCTGTGTTGCTAAAAACACACCATGTGAAGCTACAAATACACTTAGAGAATATGCAGCTCTTGCAGTGAACTTGTTCTCTTAACATCTTGGCAACAAAACTGTGTTTGCAGCTGTTTTGGTGTTCTAATAGGAAAATGTACGAAGGTCTCAGAGATGGGAAGGTTGGAAAATGTCACATTGTATTTTACTAAAATTCAGGATGTTTTTAAAGTGCTAAGAAATGTATGGGGGTCAGGGAGGAAACAAACAGCTGCTGTTTGGTGAAAAAAATAACGTAAGACTTCATATATTTGCATTCTTACTTCAGGGGCAATAAAACAATGATGGAAGTACAATAACTTGTACAATCATGTAGCAATTTTCAATGCAATAGGTGAATCCTAATGTGCATCTTTTAATAGGTTGGTATTACATAGTTTATGGTTTACAATATCTTTGATTAACTTTTCGTTAGAAGGATGATCTGCCAGAGGGATTAATCTATTCCAAAATGATTGCCATAAATATAAGGAACACTGAAGTGAATACTGAGAGACAGAGGCTGAACAGTGCTGTTCTCTTCTTTTCTCTCACAGAAATGCACACTCTGCAGCCAGCCTGGTGCTACAATTGGGTGTGAAATCAAGGCCTGCATAAAAACATACCATTACCACTGTGGAGTAGAAGACAAAGCTAAATACATTGAGAATATGTCACGAGGAATTTATAAGTAAGGACCTATGTACTTCTTGAACCTATAATGAAAGTGAAGACATTTCATGGCACTTTTTCTGCCTAACTTGGCTAGTCAAGTATGTTATTGCAAAAGAGAATATTGTTTCATTTAAAACTGTACTTTAATTGTTAACTTTGCAAAATATTTCAGTTCCTCTGCTAGTTTAAAATTTCTGTAGTAGCACTGTAATATGAGGAATGAGAAAATTAATTGACTTATATTTACATTAATCCATTAATCTGTAACCCAGGATAGCTGATGTCATGATTCCTTCATACTGATAGTTTGTAGCTTCCTTTCAGGGGGTTTTGGACCCCCTGACTCTCCATTCTTGAGGAGCTGTGTCGGTGACTCAGTGCAGCTGAGCTGCTGTGAGGCTGTGCCCACGAGAGGGCATGTGCTGAGCAGTGCAGTGGCAGCTCTGGAAAACTGGGACTGATCACAGTTTTTTGTTGGCTGGTCCTGAACCTTGTTTTCATTCTCAGTTTAACTGATGCCTGACCAAAAGCCCTGAATGAGTTCAGAGTTTGCAATTGACTTGTAGCACATCTCAAAACTGAAAGTTAGCTGTTGATGGATTATTTCTGTGAAAGTCCTCACTGTTCCTTTTATTGTGACAGACTCTATTGTAAAAACCATAGTGGAAATGACGAAAGAGATGAAGAGGATGAAGAAAGAGAAAGCAAAAGCCGTGGCAAATCAGGCACTGACCATAATGACATTCCTCAGCAGCAGCTCAATGGAAACTAGGTATGGAAGTTACTCCTGACAGATCTGTTGCCAAGACTGAAATGCAATATACAGTCAATGTAGTTTATTGCAGTGAAGTATTTAAATCTAGTGTATGCAGAGAAGTACTTTTTATTGGCACACTGTAGAGGAGTGGGGAGGGTTTGTTGTTTTTAAGTCCAGCTGACTTTGTCAGAAGGGAGGCCCTCGTTCTGTCGCTGAGTATAGATGTAATGTCAGAGCTGCTAAATGCTTTCCTGTATGATTTTAAATTTACTATTGTTTTCATCATTTTTTAAACAGGTTCAAGGGACAGAGTTAGAGAACTGGGAATGGCTAAGACATCATAACTACTAATTCTTCTAAATTGTTTTCTAAAATCAGAAAAGGGTTAGTAAGTTTTTACTACCCGACTCTGTTAGAAATTTCATTGAACTGCCTGAAACGTTCATGTGTGTGAGCCTTCAGTAAGTGGCAGAGTTTTACATGTCAATATTATGTAGTTTGTAGTCTGCAGTGTCTGGAAAAAAAAATGAAACACTATATAAATGATATGTAATATGTACAGTGTCAAAAGTCAAGGCAGACATTGAAATGAAGTAAGATCTATATTTCTGGACTGAATAAAAACCTTAAGATTTGGAATGTGTAAGTTGTTTAGTGGATTCATGCAATGAGGGAAGGTCTTAGCTAGTGTAATTACCAACGTGGACAAGCTGGTGGTGGCAAGGAGCTGGTACCTTGTGAATTTTGCGTTTTCTTCCTGCACAAGTTACAGAGGCTGAACGTGGGAGAGCCGCGCTCTGGGCTGGCTTGGAAGCACACAGTAGGAAAGGACTCGGTGTACACGAAGCACTCTTGAACATTTCAGGTTGTTCCTGTTGGGATTGCTCACTCCGCCCAGCATTGTTTGCAGGAGACTGACTTGAGCAGCTGTTGGTTCTGAGCTGTGAGCTTTGGAACTCATGCCAAAGGGCTGTAGTTCACTCTTTTCCCAACGACCCACCTCTTGTCCTGATTTACAAAGAACACCTCACCAAGTGTGATTAAAACCTTACTATACAAACGTTTGGACTTTGCAGCCCAATCTCTTATACTTCAGAGGGTTACAACTCTTAACTCACTATGGAATTTAGCCACCATATCTGACATCCATACCTCAGGTGTTCTCTGTTGTGTGGAACACTTCGTGTTTTGTCGAGAATACGCGTAAAGGTCCCATATTCTGTCACAGGAATGGAAACAACCTCTTTTTTTTCTAGATTGGTATTTATTTTTTAATCTTATGACCACTATATGAGAAACTTTGCGTATCATCCTTATTGCATTAGTGATTATTTTTCCTTTCTCTGTCAAGTCAACAATCACATCATGGAGTTCTACTTCTAGCATTTGATGTTCCTTTAGGGAATTATCAGATCTAGGCTATACCAAACCTAACAGATCAGTCCTCTGACTGCTTTCAAAACACCTTGTCATTTCTAATGGCTAGTGGCTTCTTCAATTGGTCTGTTAAAGCACACCCTCAGACTTAAATAAAACCAAAAAGCTGAATCTAGTCCACATGTTTGTCTGTTGCTATTGCATCACCTTGTTGTTTGTTTAGGGTTTTGATTTGTTTCACTCTGAACTCCCAACAAAACTTCTGGATTTGAAGGAAGGAAACAAGCAAAAGACACTGATTTGACTATAAACTGCTACAGTTCTTCTGTGATTGGTATTGCAAAAACAGTTCATTTGTAACATAAGTTTCTGTAGCATTTTTTACTTGTATTTTTAAAAGATTTAATGTGTGTCATTTGTCTTCTTATGCATTCCCTTAATGTCTTGAGGGACTCAATTACTGTATATTGGAGTTTCTAACATTTTACCTGTTAGAATTCAATCAGTTCTGTTTTGCTTTCCTGGAGAATTATGCCGTTTGGAAAGAGATATTGCTGTGTACAGAAAATATTCAGTTACTGCTCTAAACATGATGCCATTGATCATTTTTATTTTGTATTTGTAACTTTCAAAATTAAAAGCGTGACTTGAATTGCAATGACAGATCGGTTATTGACATTGTCTATCAAGGTGTTTTGTTTCTCCTGGAACATGAACGTTTTTCAGCCACTCAGAACAGTTTTGGAATGCAGAACAGCATTCTTCAATGCTTAAATTACTTTGATTTGTGCCTCGGACATGGCCCTCCCATGGGAAAAAGGCACTTTGTTTGCAGCTACTGTATTGAACTAAGGTTGCATGGGGTAGACCTGCCAGCATACTGACTGTACTGGAGACTGAGCTCTAACTCATTGTGTGTCAGTGGCTTAGTGTAATATTCAGTCCAATAATTCACCTGTTATGAAGTAAGTGACCCCATTCCATGCCTTGAAGAACCAGAACAGCACTTTACCTTCGGGTAGCAGAAAAGCAAGTGGCTGTTTCCTTGTTACCTCTGTGTGCTGAGATGGCCTGACTAAACTGTCATCAATTCAGAATTCATGGAAACAAAGTCAAAAGCAAAAACCTTTTCTTACAAGCCTCAAATTTGTCGTAACTGACTTCAACTCATGTATGCTGGGTAAAAGTGCCTTACAATGTAAAAATTGTATTTATATGTTCCCAAGTAGCATCACCTGCTGGGGAGTAATTCTGTCGTGGTGTTAATATTTAGAAGAAATGTACCTCAGCAGTGTATTTACTGTACATCTCTTACGTCCTTAATTGTAGTTTTAAAAAGCATGACAATGTATGATAGTATACAACATTTACATCATTTTTTTAAGAGACAAAATACTGCCATTACTGTCTTTTTATGTGTATTTTAGCTTGGAATTTCAGACAGTCTGTCTGAATTTTTGGGGGTTTATTTTTTTTTCTTTGTAAAGCAATGTAATCTTTGCAAGCATATATTGAAGATTATTCTGGAGCATCTACTGCCTTCCCAGAAATGTTAGAAGTAATGGAAGTGCTCTATAGGTGAATTAGGTATGTTTAAATTAGGTAGTTTAAATTAATGCAGTCAGTTTGTTACTGAGATTTTTTTTTTACTAGGCACCTTCTGCTTTCATCTCACAACCAGAGAACTCATGAATTCAACAGAACTTGTCTTACAAAACATTATTTAATTTTTTTATTATTATTATTATTATTATTTGCCTTTGGGCATTTCTTTTGCGCACGAGAGGAGTGTGTGCTGTTTCAGATGCCTGGAACCCTCTGAGAAGGGAGGTTTCTCCCCAGCTCCCCGTGTCTCTGCAGTCAGAGATGTCCCCAACTCACTGTGTCGCTGTTAACAGATCTGCCGTTGTGCTATTCCGAGAAAGGACTGTTCCAAGGAAGGACAGGCATAACAAGGATGTTGTTCAAGTACCTTGAGGATGCAGCTGGTGTAATGCCAGAGTCCCAGGGCTGATCAAACCCTGTAGCAGTGGGCTGTGCTGTCACTCCATTCCAGGGAAGGGTGAAGGGTTGGCTCCGTGTCAGTGCAGCTCACTAGGATGAAATAGATCAGGTGATCAAAGGATCTGCTCATTCAGCAGGTGCTGGTCCACAGGAGGTTCTGTGATAAGGCTCTAGAAAGAGTCACACCTACACCCCACAAAGTCTCATCTTTAGGTACAAAGAGCTGTGCTGATCTGCAGTGGTGTGAATCCACCAAATCTGGCCCTAAAATGTGACAACAGAGGAGATCACTAGGATGAAATAGATCAGGTGATCAAAGGATCTGCTCATTCAGCAGGTGCTGGTCCACAGGAGGTTCTGTGATAAGGCTCTAGAAAGAGTCACACCTACACCCCACAAAGTCTCATCTTTAGGTACAAAGAGCTGTGCTGATCTGCAGTGGTGTGAATCCACCAAATCTGGCCCTAAAATGTGACAACAGAGGAGAGCTTGGCTCGCTGCCTGTATATAACTTCCATGCTAAGCCAGAGTGAAGAATGAAGAGGTGATAATCTATGTGAAATATCAGACTTATCTGGCAGGTGATAATCAGTGCATTCCAAAAATACCAATATGCTGAATCAGATTGACAAGAAAATTAATCCTCATTAGATGAAATTAATCTGAAGAGAACTGAAAGTACATGATAGCAATTAGAAACTCTTCTTCCACGTCACCAGGAACAGATTCCACTATATTAGTGATGGAGGTGAAACACCAGAACACAGCACTTGGTTTATGTACTCAGTGGAGCAGTCTCTGTACATGCATATGTATGTACATCCATTAGTCAGCAGTGACATCTCAGCCCTTAACGAATCCTGGAGAACTGTTGCTTGTCAGAAAGCTCAGGTTAGGCTAATGTTTGCAGCTTTTGCTCTAGCATACATTTACATTAGGTGTAAAGACAAGGAATGTGTGGAAGAGGGTAAATGCATTCCTATCTACAATGTTATGTATATTTTGTTCCTGTTATATTGGCTTTACTTCCAAAGTTGTAGTTTGCAGTATTAGTTTCTTTTTATTGGTATCCTTGCATATATATATTCAATAAATGAGTTATAAATTTCATATTTGCATATCTGTCCTTCTTCCAAAAGTGTAACTTTAAAAAGTGTTGTTGTAAATGCATAAATGCAGCATTTCCTATTGAGCTTGCAGGAGAATGTTAGCAGGAGAGAGGTGAGAAGGCATCATGCTTGCAGTGTGGCACTCCCTCAGTGGGAACTCTGCATTTTTTGTTCCTACCTCCGTGCACTGGGTAAGCTGCTTTGGATTTACCACGAGTTAATAATGCCAAGTGACTGACTCGCTGAAGGTTCCCTTTCTCACCTTGCAACAACTTTTCTTTTGCAAGAGTGATTTAATTTAGGCTAAGAGACCAAGGGAATGCAGAGGATGTTCTGGTTTCAGCTGGGACAGAGTTCATTTTAGTCCTTGTAGCTGTCACAGTGCTGTGCTTTGGGTTCACTATAAGAACACAGTCGATAACACACTGATGGTTTAGTTGTTGCTCAGTACTGTTCATGCTAAGTCAAGGACTTTTCGGCTTCTCATGTCCTGCCAGGGAGAAGGCTGGAGGACACAATGAGTCGGGAGGGCATGGAGCCAGGACAGCTGACCCAGACTGGCTAAAGGGATATTCCATCCCATATGGCATCATGCTCAGTGCACGAACTGGGGGAAAGCTGTCTGGGGCCACTGCTAGGGAACTGGCTGGGCACCCAGCAGTGAGTGGTGAGAGCTGCACTGTACATCGCGTGGTTTGTATACTCTTATTCTTTTATCATCATCATCATTATTGTCTTCCTTTTCTCTGCAATTAAACTGTTCTTATCTCAGCCCATGAGTTTTCTCACTTTAACTCTTCCAGTTCTCTCCTCTGTCCCACCAGGAAGAGGAGTGGGTGAGCAGCTGCCAGGGGATCAATGACATTGCACGTTGATGGCACTGCAGAAGAGCAACTGCATCCAGGATGCACTTTGGAACCACAGAAATGTAGTGTAAGAGGTTAACAAAACAAAGGATCACTTGGAAATTGCTGGATTTGTCAAAATACTTGACTGCCTAGAAGGAAACAGTGATGTGATACCTTTCAGTGATTTTAAAGGATCAAGAAATGTACTGGGGATACTGTAAGAAGGGCACAACTGGCCTATCGGTGAAGATTTTATTACATCATCATCTTAATCAAGGAGTTGATTTAATGAGCATTATAGGTAATTACTGTGGCCTGAGAATAGTTTTATCTCCAGTCAGCACAGACATGTGTGTCAGGAAAAAAATTGTCATGCATCATCTCCAACTAGGAATTGACAAATGATCAGGTCTTGTGGGTGAAGTCATAAAATCATAGAATATCCTGAGTTGGAAAGTAGCCAGAAGAGTCATCAGGTCCAGCTCCTGGCCCTGCACAGGACAGCCCCAGATTATTGGTGCTGTGATTCCACAGCAATCTTTCCAAAGCTTTCCTGAGGAGTTTAATTTAAGACTTTTATGGTGGTGTTGGGAGTAGTTTCACCATGAGCCTTTTGATGCCATGGAAATTATTACTGGAGGCATGTTTATTTGCTGAATGTTTTTTCTGGTTTAATTCAGTCAGTTGGAATCTTTGAGGGAAGTGCAGGATTTTGTGGAGGAGCCTTCTCAGTTCCATGGATGTGGTTTGTCACTGGAATAGGTGGACACTGAAATCTTGGAGCAATGAAGG